GCCCACTCGGCTCCACAGTCCCCCTCCTTACGGCCCACTTCCCCTCACCGAGCCAACCCAAGCCATGCCAACCCCCACCATTCCTCAAAATAGCATCTTTCACATAATCCACATGATGCTGCACCCCAGCACCAACCTCACTTCCCTTACCACGGAACCAATCCTCCAAAATCTTTGCCGTCTCCTCACTGACCGACCTCACACAACATCTCAACTTCTTCAAGTAGTCGTACACCCTCTCTCCTCTCCCCGTATCCGCACTTACCTTCAATAACGCTGCAATCTCAGGCTCCTCTAAGCTCACATTAATTAGACTTATATGATCCTCCACCTCGTACGCCTTATCAGCCTCTAACTTGTTGCAGAAACACAGCAATGCCGGCTCAAGAGTGCGCAGGCGTGGGGTCAGACCGTAATCACCCATACTCCTGACAATGTCGAAGGCAGAATCACCGTCGCCCTTGGCTGCAGCTAAACGTGCAACCGCAGTAATGGAGGCTTCATTGGGATGGATTTTCAGGGAGAGCATATGATCAAAAATTCGAAACCCATGGGATAAAGCAAGTAACTTTCCATCCGGATCGGCAACAGAAGCGGAGCAGAGGTAGAGGAGGGTATTGAAATGCTGCTGATTAAGGCGCATGTTGCCGGAGATGGCGGACTCGTAGAGAGAGATTGCTGCATTGAGATCCTTGGATTTGGAGCAGGAGTTGAGCTCAAAGAGGAAATTAGCTTCTGGGTTTTTGCGACCTCTCTTCTTCTTGTTAGCCCTTGAGGGGTTTTGGTGGCGCCGGTGGTTGGCCGAGGACATGGAGGCCGAGAGCCAAAAACCCTGAAAATCGAATCAAAACCCTAGCTAGCTGTGACACCGTAACTGCTCAGCTCCGTTCCGTCTGAGTTGTGATGGAAGTTGTCGGGTATATATATACATTTGGGCTGGGCTTAAAACAAAGACTGTTACTGTGGGCAACTTGGGCCTAATGCATATGTGAAAAGTGAGCTATGTAATATGCAGGAGGAAGGAATCCAACCTTTTGAATAACCAGTCTCATGGGCTTTTCCGAAACTAACCCATGTAAAGTATCATCCCCAGCATCGATGGTTTTTAGTATTATTATTATTATTATTATTATTATTATTATTATTATTATTATTATTAAGGGTTAGTGTTTATCTTTTTTATTTTTAAAAAATTAACAAAAAAAATAACAAAAACACCCTTATTTATGCTTTAAAAATAAGATATTTTAATTTTTTTAATA